CCCACACAACCCTTCCAGAGTCTTATAAGTGGTTCTTCCAAGGCGGATTTAAGTACCTTGGCCTTTTTGCTAAGAATGCCAACAAACGTATGAATCAGTGTCACCTGTGGCAGTCAGGACAGTTGTCCACTAGGAACAGGGTGTCCATTAGAAATATGGACAGGGTGTGGTGGCCCATGGCAAGGTAGTCTCATCCTCCCAGGTCCTGCTATTTGTTGCACATCCCTAAGAGTTGTCTTTTGGTGGGTGCCTGTTCACTTAGTGTCATGTCACCAACTCTCTTCACTACAGCTCTTATCTGTCATGTTTCCTTGCTGTCAAAAGCCTTTTTGTGGAACTCAGTTTTCACACAGGCCTCATATTACTCAGTAATTAGGGTTAGCAGCTGGCCCGAAGAATTTACATAAATTACAAGCCCTTTGGGACAAGAACTGCCCTTTCCTTATGTTTCTGTGTTGTACCTAGCCCAACCGAACTCTGATTGCTATCTCTAAATACTCAACATACTCTTTAATCTCATTATCTTCATAAGCACTGTGTTTCCTAATAAAAATTTGGGGGTCTGGTGTCACACTCAAATTATTGTGGTAATGATTTTTTCCCTCCTAATAAATTTTGATTAGAATGCAGTTTATCCTTTTTCCAGATGAATTGCCATTATTCAGGTTGAGTTTGCTAAAATAAATTAAAACAAACACACACGGCAATCAAGACATGCTCATGCCTTTCCCAGGAGTCTCTAACCCCCTGAAAGGTGTACATTCCAAGTGGAGCAGGTCCCAGAGGAAGCACTCCTATCTCTGACAAGCTTTTAACTTAATGTCCAAACAGCCAAAAATAATGTAGCACTATAGAGGTGCAGGTGCACACCATTGTCTTGTCAGGGGCAGTTTACTCTGCAACATTCTCCATGGGAATTACTGTGCATTATTTAATAGGAGAATTTCTCTGATTTAACTCGCATGCGCGTCTTATTGCAAACACAATTCAAACCCTTCCAAGTGCTCCTTTTGTTAGCCCAGAAATAAAATATTTGCAGATGTGCCTTGCTACTACAGCCTCTCAGACTGTAGACTGTTGTGGGAATAAGATAAAAATTACCTTGGCCAAATTCTGAGCTGCAGGTAACACGACCTCAAGGCATTCATTAGAATTCTCCTTGAGTCTCATTGTTCTGCAGGTCAAAAAAGGGAGAAAGTGCAGTGGTCAACCCCCTTCTGATCCTGAATCATTCCCTGGTATCTTTCTATTTTCAGGTCTGCATGGAGGGAATGGTGTAGACTCCCTTACTGTTGTCTAGTACTGCTTTTATGTTTAGGGTGTTCCCCAAAGAGCCAGTTAGCACGGTTTTATGTTCCCCTTGCAGAGCAGAGCAGGGAATGCTATCAGGATGAATGCTGTAAAATGATTAGCTAAGATTCTCCTACCTTATAATGAGGTCTTTATTTTTTAAATTAGAGGTCATCTTTGCAGCTTTGTATAGTCAATATTAGTCTATATGTAGACATATTTAGGTTAACACAGAGTGTTTTCAATGCCAGTGGAAACATTTTAGGAATAAAACACTATAAGCCTGTATGTCCAAAGCATTGCAGCATTTGGCAGTGTATTGAGCACAAGAGTATGAGACATAGGACATGAGCTCCGTTTCTTTTCTCAGGCCAGTTCTGATCTCATTAGTTTTGAAGACTGGTTCTGGCATATCCCAGAGTGAGTGCTAGAAGAACTGGGTCTGTTGGCTATAAAAGAGAGTGAAAATGCTTTCTCAGCTCTCATTTTCTAGCATGAATTGCGGAAAATAAGTTAGATTTTTAATTTTTTTCAAAGTTAGGAACTTTTTTTAGAGTCATTTTATTTTAATCAGTGTCTTCTTAAGGCTGTCTCAACACTAAGAAAATGCACTAGGTCTGGGTAGCGTTTCTTAGCTAGCACAGCGTTATACATAATTTAGCATCTACTATGAATGCTAGATTAACCATGACTAGCTAACACATTATTGAATGAGTGCCCTTGACACATCAGAGGCAAAATCATGTTTCAAGTTGTTCACATTGGGGATGATGAAGCTCTGTGGATATGCTGGATCCTGTTAGTGTAGAAGAGCAGGGCTCTAACTAAAGACATGGTCGTTTTCCCCTAGATCTGTGTCTAAAAGTACAATTTAATTAATATATTATTTTATCTCAGCATCCATCATCTTAATTCAGGGTTGTCCTTTGAATGACACACTCCAAAGGAAAGCACAAGACAGAAAAAAGCTTACTTTGTTCATCATGAAAATGTAGCAAAGCATTAGGTTAAGAGTGTTTGCAGTTTGGCCTGTCACTGTAACAAATGGAGAATGCAACAGAAGTTCTGGCTTCAATAGCATGAAAATGGGACTGTTCCAGGTAACCATTTTTTATTCACCTGTTTCTTATGATGGAGGGAAAAGGAGATTTTCACACCAAAATAATGCAACCTATTTCTGAAAGGCTGATAAGTGCTTAAATGGGTCATGAAATGAGCAATGTGTTTTCTTTGTGCAAGTCATAACCAGTAGGGTTGACTTCATCAGAGTTTTGCTAAAGGCAGTGAGTGTTGTTTTACTTGGTGGCAGTTGCTTCATTTGTAATTTCACTGTGTCCTCATCCCCCTGCCCCCACTTCAAGTTTATAATAATACATTTCAGTAAATATTATGCTTGCTGTAGTCTTGCCATAAGGATGCCTTGGAATTACTGGTTGTTTAATTCAATACTATGTACAAAGAAAATGCTTGCTGTAATGTTTATATACAGATCCTGGGTGGTTGTAATGGGTCATTTGTGTCCCTTCTGGGTTCAGAAGGGAATGTGAGCTGGTGCTGCCCGACTGGCTAAATGTGGGGGGGAGCTCTCCTGTGGCTGCTGCTGTCACTGCCATCCACCACCCCACGCCACTGCCATGCACCACTTTCCCATGGCCAGTGGCGCATGTGGCTTCGTGGGCTCCTAATGGGTGGTGCACGATTGGCTGGGTGTGAGGTTTGTCAGCAGCCCATGGAGCCGCACATATGACTGGCTGTGGGAAATTGGGGCATGGCGGTAGTGGCAGTATGGGGTGGTGGCTCAGGGCAGTGGGTGGCAGCAGTGACTGCCGTGTGCAAGCCCCACCCCTGGCTCTGCATCTGGCTGCTGCCACCAGAAGAGGTACACTTCTTAAAAAAGGTTGAAAACCCCTGGATTAGATGACAAACACCCATGTACTCCAGCAAGTGAACAGCACCTGATGTTGCAAAGAGGTGAAAAATCCAAAGTCCATGCACTTCGTGCCTGACTTATGGAAACATTCCTTTCCAAGCCCAAATTTGACAGTCTGACACTGAGCTTGTGAATAAACCACCCGAGCCAGCCATCTAGTAAGAGCATTCTCTATACCAGCTCAGTGCATTAATCTAGTGTCGTCTTTCCCATGGTGGCCAATCTTTGATGCTAAGAGGGAGATAAAACATATATCAGAATTCATTTAACCAACTGTGCTTTTTGAAAAACCTTCATTCCTGACCCATGCAGGCAACTGGCCATAGTTCTCAAGCATGACATTTAGTATCTTCATGTAAAGCTGCAACTGTTATGAGCATACTGGGGGCAATGCAGGCACACTTATTTTGCCTTGACCTGTAAAGGAAGAGCCTGAACAGGAAGACTCACAGATTCACAGACTCCGATTAGAAGTGGCCCTTACAACCATCCCATCTGATGTCCTGCTGCCCTGCTGTGGAACTTCTCCCAGAAGCTGGATTAAAGCACATCCTGTAAAACAGGGGTACTCAACCCCTGGCAGCATGTCATCTAGCCTGCAGGGCTCACCATGGATCCAAAAATGTGGCTGCAGGGGAGCAGTGGCACCTCTCTTGCTGCCAAATTTCCAGACTGGTGGGGATCCCTGCAGGCAGAATAGCATGGCCCTATATGCTAATTTGGGAGCACAGGACAGCATGAGACACACAGGGCAGTATGAGGCCCAATCCCAGAACACACTGGGCTTGATCACAGGGTGCACATGTGAGAACAAAAGATTGGGCATCACTGTTGTAAAAAGATACCAAACCCCATTTCAAGGGCTTTAAATGAATGGGAACTTACTACCCTTGCTGGTAAACTGTTCTAACATTTAATTATCCAATGCTGGATTCCCTCTTCTCCAGAGGATGTCTTTGTTGTGGTGGGGAAAGCCTGGGTTGTGATACATGGGTCACTTTGGGGTATGGTAACACTTTATATTTAAGTATTATGCATGTCTGGTGTCATGTGACAGAGGACTGATGGTGCTGAAACACTGGGCTTGATGAACTGCTATTGTGCCTCAGGTAACTATCTACACTGGTAGTTAATCGGACAACTTGTGTGCACAAGGTTAAAACCATATGCTTAAGTATTTCCCTGGACTAGGGCCAGACTGTTTGGAACCAAGAGAATCAATCCCTAACTTATCTGCTACTAGGCCAATGGGATGGGAGAATAAAATCGGAAGGATTACCAGTTTCTGTTGATCCAAGCAGTATTATTAAATGAGATGATTCTTCCTTCTAGTTGCATAAAGTGTTGTATACAAAAAGATTGGCTTGTTAGTGTAGTTAAAACCAAGTGTAACAATTTGGATAGTATACATAGAATAAATGATGGAAATGGTCACGATATAAATACAACCATACAGAATTTATAGCTCTTATATAACTTTGAGTTACTGAAAAGTAACCAGGCGAAAATCGTTGGCAGAATTTAAACTACATTTCTTGAACTGGGAAGGCATTGCAATTTGAGAAGTAAACTGGGGAAGGCAGGAGGGGCAGGAAGAGACGGGAATAGGACAGTTCATTATACAACTTTATTCACTCTTTACCTCTGAGAGTCACCTGTTTTTCCATAATATTTCCAATTTACTGACGATCTAGGGCATGAAAGCATGTAGGGAAAATGAAAATGTTTCTTAAGTTTCTTTGTCCATTTAAATAAGAACCTGAATTGTTTCTCTTACAAGGGACCTTGGAACGACATTGTCCCATCTTCAAGTCCTATGGATGGCTCGTTGTGGGCTCACAGATTTGGATGGAATTTCTTCCTCCAGCTCTCTTAAGGTAAGGAAAGCTGTATCACTTCAAATTTTCCAGCATCCTCTTATAGGCTTGCTAAATTTAGCTCATAGTTCTCTTCCTATAATTATGCTGGTAGCCCTTTTCTTTTTATTCTTAAGGGACTTTGGGAGTTTGTGAAGACGCCAACATATTTATTTTTTGTTAGAACACTGGCCTATTTCTAAAAACACTTACTGTCAAGCACAGTACTCACTTCTGTCATAATCTTATTGACTTAAGTTGGCACTAGGAAACACCATGTCTGAGTGAGTTTTTGAGCCTTTTGATTGATTCTGTTCAGTTTTTACATTTATGTGATACCCCATAGCCCAAAAAATTTTAAGCAAACCTTTAATGTAATTTGGGCAAGACTGTGATGGATGTGCTCTGTTTACTCCTTTTAGGAACTCTATATCGCCTATAACCATATTTCTGACCTGAGCCAAGTGTGCTTGCTAGATCATCTTGAGATTCTGGACCTGGAAGGAAACAATATTGAAGACATTAACCAGATTCAGTACCTGGGACTTTGTAGCAAACTGAGTAGTCTCACAGTGGAGGGGAACCTTATTTGCCTGAAGCCAAGCCCAGAATCTTCAGAGGTAAAAAAATTGTTCAGACTCTGTGGGCGCATCTACACATTCATTAATGCGCCTTAGATACTGCATGTATTTAGTTTAGTATTTCTTTAATAAAGTACTAACTAAATTCGCAGTACCTGGAGTTACTGCGCAGTAGCACTGGTGCACAGTTATTTGGTGATGCTTACTGTGCATTAGCCTCATAACACTATATAGTAGGCTAGTAGCATGGGTTTTGCTGTTTCACGCTACTGCACAGTGTTATTAGGCCAATGCACAGTAAGTGTCTCGTGTAGATATGCCTCTTGTGTTGAATTTTGTACACACTTGTTTATCTTGAAGCGGTAAATCAGAAATTTATAGAAACACATCCACTGAGTAGTTATTAATCACGGGTGATGACAGAATAAGTCTTTTCCATCCATCGTTTGTATAGTTGTTTTTGAAAAAGGCACCTTTCTCATGATCACAAGACAGAATAGGGGCAGAAGTAACACCTATTCCTGGCCTCTTTCTTAATGTCTCCAAAGGACTGTTAATATTAGCAGGAACAGCTTTCATAAAACATTTCCTGCTACATATGAGTATGGGCATAATCTAGCTTAGCAAATAAATTGTTCTTACATGAATATTTCTCCCCCATGCTAGTGAACTCCTTCATGCAACTTCAGATCTTTCCCCATCTGCTCTAAGCTACATAGGGGTCACCAGAGAATAATTTTCTCCTGCTTACTAGCCAGCCAAGCCCTTTCCCTAGGTCACTAGGGAGCATGAAACAGACTTTTAAGCTGTTTATTTCTTTCAACCTCCATCACATTTTGGTGAAATTCTAATTTTTCTGCCCCCTCTGTTATATGGTCTGCCCAGGGTCCTCCCTGTCTCCAAGGCAACAGAGGTACCATGGCTCTGAGCCTGGGCTTATGAATGTTCCTGATATCCAGAATTCTCTGCTTCCATATATCATGCATGACAGACTCCAAATCTCCATTTATAGTAGTGTTCTTCAGGGAAGATTTTTCCCTATATGTCCTTCATTTTTTTCCCCTTGGTCTCAAAGCTTTTCTCTGAAAATTTCTATATTAAAAACATATTTTGGCTTTCTTAGGATGCTCTAAAGGACAGTGCCTTCTGTCCCCTCCACACTCAAAACATCCAGCAGGCCACACTCAGTTCTCAATGGGTATGGGTGCAAGTTCCATACCAAAGGAGTTAGGTAGGCCTTGGGAACCAAGATCCTCGGTGGCTGTACATGAGGCCCATGCCAACAGAGTTGAGCAGGCTGCCATGAAACTAGATCCCAGTCAGAGTGTAGGCAACGGCCATGCCACCAGAGTTGATCAGGTTGGAGGAAAGCCTGACTCTAATTAGTATGTGAGTGATGTTTTTGGTGAGACAGCTGAGCGGGCCGTATGGAAGCTCTCTTCACTGACATCAGATCAGAATCAGTGGGATGAAAAAAGGAGTATATTTTTCAAAGCTTCTCTGGCTTTCTTTTAGGCATGGAGCACAGCTTGCAGGGCAGGTATATAAGGAGGTTTCACTGAAGCCTTTTTAATATCTAAGGAAGCCTCCCCCACTAGCAACCAGCATACAGTGTAGTAATTAAGAGCCCCTTCCTAAGGGATGAGCCTACATACTTTCTTTCTCCAGCCACCAGGGATCCTACAGGACATCAGGGAGTGTCAGGGAGACAGGCAAGATATGTGTTTTCAGATAGCTGTTTTGATCTTCAATTTCCAGTTCCCCTTTAATTGGGCTTTTTAAGGGTTTTTTTCCTCAAGTCTAAGCAGATTTCCTGTCCAGTTAGAAGTGTTTCTCCCCTGCCCCTTCCTCTGACTTGAGGGTGAGCGCTTAGAAATAGGAGGTTTTAGATAGGGGGTGCTATATAACAGAATTTGCTCATTGCCATATGGCTATGCTTATTAACAGCTATTTGATCTTGCTTCTAGGGTAGCCTAGCCCTCAGTACAAATCCTAAACTTCATCGGGGGACAGTGGGGAACATTTTTTCCTCTAGATGATGTGTGCTTCCTATGTTATCAGCAGATGACTCTTTAGAAACACAGGGTGTCAATAACTGCTAGAGGTAGGCTTGTTCACATCCTGGACAGAAGCTCCTATGCCATTCTTTAGTGTACACCAAGAAGGAAAGAAAGACATACTCAAAACTGTGGGAATACAGTCCAGACTATCTAGCCCTTTAGTGCATCATAAATCATGTGAACCTATTTTCATTTAAGTCAACTGGAAAAGTAAAAGAAGGGCACATGAGAAAAAGAGGAATTTAGAGATGAAGACAATAGCTCCTTTTAATGCAAAGGTCTGTTTTATGGTTTCCATCCTCCACCACTGAGATTAAAGAACATTGAAGGAATAGGCCACAATGATTATAATCAACTTCTTATTAATCTAAAGGTCTTGGTTCTCAGACTTGATATAGGTGCTGATAGAATCACCTTTCTTAAACCGCAAATACACAGACACAAAACTTAGTGCAGGAGGAATCTATCGTAGACAAAAATCCAGCACTGTTTAGCTCAGTACCTGGGAAGCTGAGGTGAAGGAATTGCTGGCTCATTCTAAGGTGATAAATGCCCTCCTGGAGGGAATCTGGAAATGTTTACTCATCTCTTGAGCTTAATAGGATCCTAGAAAAGTAGGGCTGGAGGGGACCTTAGCAGGTCAGCCAGCCCAACTCCTGCTGAAGGCAGAAACATTCCTGTTTAAACCATCCAGACAAATGTTTGTCTAACCTACACTTAAACATTTCAAACAACAGAGATTCCACAAGCTATCTAGCTAATGTCCCAGTACTTAACCATTCTTGTACTGTATTTACTTGAATCCAAGAGGAGGCTTTTCCCCTCATTCAATATGCACTTGGAGCAGCCCTTTTAAACTTTCCAATGGTATTTTCAGCTTGGAAAACAGTTATTCTAGACAGTCTTCCTGAGGGGCAGTCCTAAATCCAGACTCAGAAAAGAGAGTTGTTTACCCCCTCGTTGCTATGGTAATGAGAAGTACCCCTGTGGCACCGGGCTTGGGTATGTCTGTACCAGGTTCATGGCATTCCTGGGAGTGCTGTTCAAGCATGCCTGTCCACCCAATCCCACTTGCCAAGTGCCAATCCTAGAAGCAAAGTTCTGAAGCCATCTTGAAAGCTAGGGGCAGACATTCAAAAGCCTGAGCCTGAATTAATTCAATCTTTGCAGGTTAGTTTAACCTGGCTAGGCTGAGCCGGTTCGTAACTGGACAGACATTCTCTCTGGACTGAGGAAATTCAGGCACATGTGGCAGTGGCTCAGGCTAGAAGCCAGGGGTCACTAGAACAGCCCTCCCTTCCCTACCAGAGTGCTGAGCAGAGGCAGGGTGTGACCAGGCCTGGGCAGGACCTCTGATTAGGGGGGTCTGCCTGCACCATCTCAGACTTTCCCCTGCTGGCTGCTGAAGGGGTGGGAGTGTTACTAGACCCCAGACCCCTGCTAGCACTCTGAGGCAAGGTGGGTGTGCAGTGAACACATCTGTTAATGATATGGAGCTTTTCAATCTCCCTCTCCCTGCTTCTTTATACTGTCTGCAGCAAACTGACAGGTGAGCAAGCCAGCAAGGGGCTGATAACAGTGATTATCACCTCATCAGCAAAACACTAGCCTCACTCCATTAGTTCAAACTCTGCATAGACTCATAGATTGTTAGGGGCTGAAAGGGACCTTGCAGATCATCAGGTCCAGCCCCCCCACTAGGCAGGAAGACAACTGGGGTTGGGTGACCCCAGCAAGGTGACTGTCGCATCTCCTCTTGAAAACCTCCAGGGTAGGTGACTGCACCACCTCTGGAGGGAGTTTATTCCACAGTCTAGACACCCTGACAGTGAAGGAGTTTTTCCTGCTATTAAGCCACCTTCTTAAACAGGCTTCCTCTCATACAGCTTACCATCTGACTAGTTGATTAGATTCAAAGAGCCTTAAGCAGGCACTGTCTTGTCTGCCTGTCCCAGTGAAATTGAAGACATGCACACAGACACCTCTCAACATTAGCTACCGTACCACATGCCTAGGGTCCATGGGGCTGGGGTCCATGCTGTGGTAGATGAGAGGGAGGTGGGGGAGGGATTCCTGCTTAAGCAGCAAGGGGGGATGGGGCAGGGGGAAGCCAGGCAGACCCTGCTGTGTCTGCAGTCTCTGCTGGAGCTGCAGTCAGGGAGCAGAGGGGAGAGGCTGGCTCTGCTATGGAGCAGAGAGCCCTGCTCAGCCCAGAGACCATGCTGGGATGCTGAGGGAGCCTGGTTTATCTTAAACCAGCAAGGAGTCTGGGACAGACATTGCA